GGTGAGCATGGGAGTTGTCCATGCCACTATGTTGTTAGTACTTTTAAGTTGAGTTGTATAAACTGATAGTTGGTCCGGTCTACGTGTTGTAGTTCCGTGACTAGAGACATACATTATGTTATATTAATTAATGAGGTATTTCAGTTAGCTATTTTATTGCAATTGCATACAGACGATGTTTTATTAATTGATTAATAAGCAAGTTGGTAATGATAATGACATCATAATTGAAAAGAAAAAGATATTCCGCATTTTTAATTAAGCGCAGCTTAATACGATAGTATGATAACATTATCGGATATATACGGGGTGTTACAAGAACTACCCGACTCATGATTTGGAGTTTCCTGCGATTGTGTTTGCTTTTAAGATTTGGAGGCATTATCTGTTCGGTATGCAGTTTGCTGTGTTCAGTGACCACAAGAGCTTGAAGTATATGTTTGATCAGAAGGAGCTGAACATGAGACAAAGGAGATGGATGGAGTTTCTGAAGGACTACGACTTTGATTTGAAGTATCATCCTGGCAAGGCCAATGTGGTAGCTGATGCTCTGAGTCGAAAATCCGTGAGTCTATCCAGTTTGTTGATTGGTGACTTTGATGTCATTGAGAGATTTCGAGATCTGTCGGTGACTTCCTTGTTTGGGGTTGCACTTCTCGAGATGGAGACTATGAGAGTTAAGAATGAGCTTATGGAGAAGATCCAATATGCACAAGTGCAGAGAGAGTGCCTGGACTACGTGAAGAACCAAGACGATGTGTCTTGGAATGAGGATGGACTTCTGTTGTTTCAGAAGCGGATCGTGGTTCCTCGAGGTCCTTTGACCGAAGAGGTTATGGCGGAGGCCCATAAGGGCCAGTTCACTGTTCATCCTGGTGCTACAAAGATGTATCAAGACTTGAAGAGGAATTTCTGGTGGCCGGGCATGAAGAAGGACATAGATGTGTATGTGTCCAAGTGTTTGATTTGCCAGAAGGTGAAGATGGAACACCAGAAGTTGTCTGGTAAGCTTCAACCTCTTGAGATTCCGGAATGGAAATGGGAGCATTTCTATGGACTTCGTGGTGGGTTTGCCGAAGACTCTGGTTGGCTGCGACTCTATCTGGGTCATTGTGGACAGACAGACGAAGTCTGCCCATTTTCTTCCCGTGAAGGTGAGCTTCACTACAGAGCAGTTGGCCAAGCTTTATGTTCGCGAGATCGTGACGCTTCACGGGGTGCCCGAGAGTATCATTAGTGATAGGGACCCGAAGTTCACATCTCGGTTCTGGGAGGTGCTGCAGGAGGCTTTCGGTACATAGTTGAGATTGAGTACCGCCTATCACCCTCAGACTGACGGACAGACTGAGAGGACCATCCAGACCTTGGAGGACATGTTGAGGGCTTGCACTTTGGAGCAGGGTTCAGCATGGGATAGGTACCTGCCATTGGTTGAATTTTCTTATAACAACAGTTTTCATGCTAGCCTGGGCATGGCACCCTACGAGGCGTTGTATGGTAGGAGGTATCAGACTCCTACCTACTGGTCTGAGGTTGGAGATAAGGAGTTGTTTGGCTTCGACTTTGTCCAAGATACCACCCTGCAGATTCAGATGATCCGTGAGAAACTGAAGCAGGCGCAGAATCGCCAGAAGAGCTACTACGATGTCAAGCATCGTCCACTGGAGTTCAGTGAGGGTGAGCACGTGTTAGTGAGACTTTCACTTGTCACCAGTGTTGGTCGGGCACTCGGAGTGAGGAAGTTGAGCCCGCGGTTTATTGGGCCATACCAGATCCTTGGTAGAGTAGGACTTGTTGCCTACCGGCTTGCCTTGCCTCCGAACTTGGCCAACATCCACGACGTGTTTCACGTGTCTCAGCTTCAGAAGTACGTAGCAGATTCTTCGCACGTGGTACAACCGGATGATGTGGAGGTTCGGGAGAACTTGAAAACTCTCGTCGGACCACTCAAGATTCTCGACCGTGGCGAGAAGAAGCTTAGGAGTAAGATCATTCCGATGGTCAAAGTGTAGTGGACTGGAAGAACTCCTGAGGAGTGTACTTGGGAGCGAGAGGACGAGCTTCTCCGGCAGTACCCCGAAACAACTAGAAGATCTATCTCTAAGCCCAAGAGGAGGGATCCAATCTAGAATGGATCTCGGGCCAGGAGCAACCTGAGATGGGGGCAAAATGTAAGACAGAGGAACTGGATCACGAGGGGAGCTCGACCCAGGAGGAACTGCAGGATTCGAGACCGAAGGGGGCCTACCCCTACCAAAATTGAGTTGAGTTTGATGTTCCCCTCTTCTTCTCCGACCTCTCCCTCTCCTGCCGCGTCAACCTCGGGAACTCCGGCGACCTCCCCGAGGGCCCCGAAGAAGCTGTTGAAGCTTCTCCTCCTCGGTGTATTCCTTACCATAAAACCAATATTGAACTGCCCGAGGCAATTGCTTCACTACTTCCTTATCCCCTTCATCACTTCGGCCAGAAGTCGGACCATAAGATGAACCAGGAATACTCATCAGGAATCCTAAAAACAGAAAGTTTCTATCGAAAATGGAGGAGACTCGAGGAAGAAACACAAATTGTCGTTTTTCCCAGTAGAGAGCAGAATGCAACACTCTAAAATCTTAAGATTGTATATTCAAATGAACAGCAAAACAAGTGGGGGAAAGAAGAAGTACTTGATTAATAACGGAGAAAGGAACGGGCAAAGCAACTGAGAACTTTAGGAGAACCTTCACAAACAACAAATGTGAAATACGCCAAAGGTGAAGAGGAAATACTCAGGGAAGATAATGCCAGAAACGAAAAAGGAAGATCCAGGAGAAAATGAAAGTCATACAACGTTTTCAAAATGGATATTTATAAGAAGGAAAAGCATCCCAAGCGCGAAGACGAGGAGGTCATAAACGGTTAAGTAACCAAGGGCTAAGAAGTAAATTCACCACTGCACGCATTAAATAAATGCACTCATGACCTGCATAAGCTCAGAACGGCGCTAGTTCCACGATGCATGAACTACCAATAAGGATACAACACGTGGAAAATTGTAACTGTCATCGCAGGCAAGAAGCGAAAGTTCAAGCTGATGCGATAAGGACCAGATTTGACCTTATCCACGACGTCGTAGTCGAAGTTCATACTATGACCAAAAATGACAAATTGAGACCCCGACAAAAGAGGAAAAATTCTTTAAACCAGAATCACATTTCACTGACATATCAAATGTCGGACCTGTGACCCAATCTTCGACGCAATAAATTCAAAACACCAAGTGCATGAACACGGCAACACTGGAGTCGAGATGATACCTCGACACCCCGGCATTTCGAGCTTCGTAATACCGGGCTGGGGGCAGCTGTTATGGATATATATCATATCCTAACTACCTGGATAATAGCCTAATTATCCTAACAATATTAAACAACAAGATACTTGGGATAGAATCCACATCCCAACAGCAAGGAAGTTGAATCCTACTGCAACTGGGAGATCTACACAAACCCTAGAGGTAACCCTTATAAATAAGAGGCAAAAGACCCCAAGTACACACCTTTTTGACCTATTTATTATTGCTGCTAATACTGTGCACACACCCACGTCTTGGCTATAAGCCTATTGTTTGTGCGCAGTGATTGGGATATTGGCTATGAGCCAACTACGGTACCTACCTCTAAGGTATCTCTGAGCGCGTACCATTTGGTATTGCAATACGGTCTTCTAGAACCTAACAATAACACACTGGTAATTATGCTTGATTTTAAATTGCATGAGAATCTCAACCTCATTTACACAAAGAGAGAGGGGGGCCGGGGAGGGGGGGTTCTAATGGAAAAAATTAAATAAGAAATGAGTAAAAATAATAATAAAGGTAAGATGGTATAAATCAGTGTTTTAAAAACCTGGTGCCCTCACCGATTTGAGTTGGTCATAAGATCAGTTATGTACTCGAATTGGTTTAAACCGATAAATTGGTATCGGTTTTTTAGACAAACCGATTTTATGTTAAATAGTTTAAATTATATATATCTTGCTAGCAACTTAACTATTTTTATTTGTTAAACATACAGAGAATGTTATACTTACAACTTATTTTTGTTTACAACTTTTTACAACCATATCTTAACCGTTGATTTTCGTCAATCAACTGTTATCATTCATTGTAAATTAAATATTAATTAATGAGTTTAATTTGCGAAAATAATAACCGTTGATTGACTACTGAAATCAACGATTAAGATATTGGTTGTAAAAAGTTGTAAACAAAAATAGGTTGTAAGTATAATCTTCCTCTAAACATAATGTTCATAATTTAATATTTATTATATATTATTTTATAAACTTAATTTATGTGATTGAACAAGTGACCCACGAATTGAACTACTAATTCAATAACCTCATACCTTGACGGATTCGATCACCACACAGAGTTTTAAAAGAATGGTATAAATAGATTGTTTTTATCCAGTATTGATGAAGAATATATCCAGTATTGAATACTCGCGTAGCACTGAATATTATCGATAAAAAGAAAAGAAAAAAACAAAATTAAGGGTAACAGTTTGAATTAGTGCAACAAGACTGTGTTTATAAAACCAGGCTCTATGCTCAAGATCATCTAATATGTCAGACACTCTGATTCTTCTCTTACAGCACCTCTCTTGTCTTTATTTTATTTTTGAACTTTTCTGTATTGGTTCTTTGTAGGAAGTTACATCCCTCTGCTTTATCCCCTGCTTTTTTTCTTCTTTTTTTCTCTCTCCCAAACCCTGCTTTATTCCATTGAACTCGCCCCTAAAAAGAAGACGAACCTCCCTCGATCCTCCTTGTGTTCGCAAACAACATCACATCCCTTTTCTCTCTCTCTCTCTCTCTCTCTCTCTGCTTCAAAAGAACTAGAGCGGAAGAGGCCAAACACCCTCTTTTCCTCTTGTTTGTTTCTACATACCTGCAATTTTGGGATGAAGCATACCATCTAAAACAGTGCTTGTTAATCGTTATCCTTATACCTGAAAAGAATGGCATCGCCAGCAGAACTAAGCATGTATTTCAAACCTCATAGCTATTCCATGCTGCTGAAATCATTTGGAGTTCAAACTGATCAGACCTACAAGCTCGAAGAGTTCCTTTCTCGCTTAGAGGAAGAACGTCTCAAGATTGACGCCTTCAAGCGCGAGCTTCCTCTCTGCATGCAACTCCTCACCAACGGTACACCTTGAAATCATCACCATCCTTTCATAAACATGCATACCAAACATAATTGACAATGTTCCAATAAACTAATTGAACCACAGAATATCCTAAACCTTAAAGATTCATCAACATCATGATGAAAATATTACATCTACCATATCAAACTCAGTATATTCATTTTTTTTTTCTAATCTTCCAAACAATGGCCATTACAATTACTGTCTTCTATTCCCCTCTTTAGTAACTCCTTTTCTTTTGCTTTTCCGAATGAGAAATTCTTCTCTTCTTTTTTATTTTTTATAAATCATCCTATATTTTGGCAGCCGACTATTCCGAATTCAAGTCCAGGACAATAAAGGCAGCAGCATAACTCTCCCTACCAAGTTTCAAACTCGAGATCACGGTTTTTTTTTTTTTTAATTTCATGTATACACAATCATTTGTCTCAAACTTTATTTCCTTTAAATGCAAAAAGTGCAATTTAATATCCCTCATTTTTTTTCTTCTTGTTGGAGCAGCCGTGGAGCATTCAAACTCCCAAGAACGAGGGATATTGGCTTGAATGCAAAAAATGATATCAAACATATTTGAATGCAACTTCATGCCTTCAGATCAAATCAAGGCGAAAGGCCAGTTCTGGAAGAATTCATACCAATAAAGCATTCAAACTCCCAAGAACGCACTGAGATGGCATCAAACATATCGGATAAGGTGAATTGGATGACATCTGCCCAATTATGGGGCCAAGCAAGCGAAGAAACCAAACCACAATCCGCAATTACAATCCCTAAAGAAGCTGATATTGGCTTCAGCATAAGCCCTAAGCTAACTCTAGACAACAAACATAGGAATGGTGGAGCCTTTTCACCATTCTCAAGAGAACGAAACTCCTCCCAAGTATTACGGGTTCTTCCTGAGTTGTCCCTTGCCTCTTCTGAGAAAGAAATTGAGGAGAAGAAATGCGAAAAGACAGAAAATTTTGGAGTGGTTGTAGATCAAGGGAAAGTTGCTGCAGTTTCATCTGAGGCAAAAACAAACACCACCACCACGACTAGCCAAACTCATAGGAAAACAAGAAGGTGCTGGTCACCAGACTTGCACCGTCGATTTGTTAATGCTCTTCAAACGCTCGGTGGATCTCAAGGTACACCAAAATAAAGAAAAATGGAAGAAATAAAAGAAACACCTTTTCGAATCTAAGTATAATCCAAATATATTATTTTAATGATTAACATAATCCAGACTTTAATGTTATCATCATTACTGCAATCAATTGTTGAATAAATAAATAAACTTGATTTAATTAGTTTGTGGTCCATTGGGCTTAGTTATTATTTGGCCCAACTTCTAGAATAATCTTTAGGAGTAGTTTAGCCCAAATTCTAGAGTAATCCACTCTAGATTACTCCATGGAAATATCTAGAATAGTTCAACCTAGAAACTACCATGGAAACATCTAGGCTAGGAAAATTGTGGAGAATTCTAGAGAATGATTTGTAGCCATTAGATGAGAATTGTGTTGGCACAATCCTAGCCATTGGTTAAGGAGGTGCCACTAGTATAAATAGGTGTGTCCTCCATCATTTTGTATCAAGCCAAAAAGCCAAAAACCAAAAAGAGTTGTGTAGTAATAAAAGTGTTCTTTTTCCTCCAAATCTTTCTAAACCTTTCCTTTTCTCAAATATCCTCCTCCCAACAAAGTGGTATCAAGAGCCTTAAGATCCTTTCTAGAGAAATGGCAAGTAGCAACATGGTTCCTTTCCAAGTCCCTATGCTCACCAAGAGTAACTATGATAATTGGAGCATCAAGATGAAGGCCCTCCTTGGATCACAAGATGTGTGGGAAGTGGTAGAGAAAGGTTACGATGAGCCAAAAGAAGGAGTCACTCTATCCCAAACTCAAAGGGATAGCTTGAAGGATTCAAGAAAGAGAGATAAGAAAGCTCTCTATCTCATCTATCAAGGATTGGATGAAGATGCTTTTGAAAAGATTTCGGAGGCAGCCACCGCAAAGGAAGCATGGGAGAAGCTACAAACCTCTTACAAGGATGCTGAGCCGGTCAAGAAGGTACGTCTTCAAACTCTAAGAAGTGAGTTTGAAACTTTACACATGAAAGATGCCGAAAGTATCTCCGATTATTTTTCTAGAGTCTTGACGGTGACTAATCAATTAAAAAGAAATGGTGAAAAGATAGATGATGTAAAAATTATGGAGAAAATTTTGCGATCTTTAGACTCGAAATTCGATCATATTGTCACTGTCATAGAACAAACAAAAGATTTGGAAGCTATGACAATAGAGCAACTATTGGGCTCCTTACAAGCATATGAGGAGAAGCAAAAGAAAAAGCAAGGGGTTGGTGAACAATTACTCAAGACACAACTTAACTTCAAAGGAAAGGAAGAAGACTTTGGCAACACAAGAGGACGAGGAGGATATTATGGTCGAGGAAGAGGTCGTGGACGTGGAAGTATAGGCTTCAACAACAACTATGCCCATGAAGATCAAAGAGAAAGCTCAACAAGAGGTCGTGGAAGAGGTGGCTTCCAACCAAGGCGTGACAAATCACAAATCAAATGCTACAACTGTCAAAGGTTCGACCATTATGCTTCTGAATGTAGAGCCCCAACAAGGAGGATTGAGGAGAAGGCAAACTATGTGGAAGAGAAAAGTCAAGAAAATGGCACTCTGTTGATGGTACGCAACAACAATGTAGGAGAACAAGAGAATACATGGTATCTAGACTCGGGGGCAAGCAATCACATGTGTGGAAAAAGAAACATGTTCGTGGAACTTGATGAATCAGTGAATGTAAATGTCTCATTTGGAGATGAATCAAAGATACCAGTGAAAGGAAAAGGTAAGATTCTTATCCGATTAAAAGACGGGAGGCATGAATTCATTTCTAATGTGTACTATGTGCCCAACATGAAGAATAATATTTTGAGTCTAGGGAAACTCTTAGAGAAAGGGTATGATGTTCACTTAAAAAATAATACTCTTTCTTTAAGAGATAATCAAAATAACTTGATTGCTAAGGTGCCTATGTCAAGAAATAGAATGTTTCTGTTGAACATTCAACACGACATTGCAAAGTGTCTCAAAGCCTGCTACAAGGATGCATCTTGGATGTGGCATCTACGATTCGGACACCTCAACTTTGGTGGTCTTGAGTTACTATACAAGAAGGAGATGGTGAGAGGATTGCCTTCCATCAGTCAACCTGACCAACTATGTGAAGGATGTCTACTTGGGAAGCAATGTCGAAAGAGCTTTCTAAAGGAGTCTTTGTCAAGAGCCAACAAGCCGCTCGAGCTCATACATACAGATGTTTGTGGACCATTGAAGCCAAGCTCACTCGGTAAGAGTAATTACTTTCTTCTCTTCATAGATGATTTCTCAAGAAAAACATGGGTGTATTTCCTAAAGCAAAAATCAGAGGTGTTTGGAGTCTTCAAGAAGTTCAAGGCTAGTGTGGAGAAAGAAAGTGGATGCGAGATCAAAGCAATGAGATCCAATCGAGGTGGAGAGTTCACTTCTAAAGAATTCCTAGAATTTTGTGATGATAATGGAATACGAAGGCCTTTAACCGTTCCAAGAAGCCCGCAGCAAAATGGAGTAGCTGAAAGGAAGAATAGAACCATTCTCAACATGGCGAGAAGCATGCTCAAGAGCAAAAAGATGCCAAAGGAGTTCTGGGCTGAAGCTGTTGCAACTGCAGTCTACCTTTTAAATCGCTCGCCAACAAGGAGCGTGTGGGGAAAGACACCACAAGAAGCATGGAGTGGAAGAAAGCCTGGGATCTCCCACCTGAGAGTGTTTGGAAGCATAGCCTATGCACATATTCATGATGAGAAGAGGTCCAAGCTTGATGACAAAAGTGAGAAGCTCATCTTCATAGGGTATGACTCTAACTCTAAAGGCTATAAACTTTACAATCCTAACAATGGAAAGACCATCATTAGCCGAGATGTGGAATTCAATGAAGAAGAAGAATGGAATTGGGGTCTACGTGATGAAAACTACAACTTACTTCCCAATTTAATGGAAGATGAAGAGATGGAGCAACCAAGGATGGAGCAAGAAAGAGAAGAGATCATGACTCCCCCAACTTCACCAATCAGAAGTCAACAACAAAAACCATTGTCATCTGGAAGTTCAAGCGAAAGAGCACCACGCTTCAAGAGCTTGCAAGAACTTTATGAGGTAACAGAAAATCAAGATAATCTCACCTTGTTTTGCCTCTTTGCTGATTGTGAACCAGTGAGTTTTCAAGAAGCCGTTCAAAGCAAGAAATGGAGAAATGCTATGGATGAAGAAATCAATGCGGTTGAGAAGAACAAAACATGGGAGCTAGCCTCACTTCCAAAAGGGCACAAGGCGATTGGTGTGAAGTGGGTCTACAAAACTAAAAGGAATGCCAAGGGAGAAGTTGAAAGATACAAGGCACGCTTGGTGGCAAAAGGCTATAGTCGAATAGACAAGTACTTCCAAGAGAATGGTTTCATCAAATGCCCTTACAAGCATGCACTTTATGTCAAGCTCAAATATGGAGATATTTTGATCGTGTGCTTGTACGTGGATGATCTAGTCTTCACTGGAAACAATCCAAGGATGTTTGAAGAGTTTAAGAAAGTGATGAAGAAGGAGTTTGAGATGACTGACATTGGACAAATGGCATACTATCTCGGCATTGAAATCAATAGATACTGAAGAAATTCAAGATGGACGATTGCAAGCCTATCAACACCCCAATGGAATGTGGAGTTAAGTTGTCCAAATATGGTGAAGGAGAAGATGTTGATCCTACTTTCTTCAAAAGCTTAGTTGGAAGTTTACGCTACTTGACATGCACCAGACCTGACATCCTCTTTGCTGTTGGATTCGTTAGTCGTTACATGGAGACTCCAACTACCACGCACTTGAAGGCTGCAAAGAGAATCCTCCGCTATATTAAAGGTACTATCGACTTTGGCTTATTTTACTCATCCTCTAATGAATATAAACTTGTTGGATATAGTGATAGCGATTGGGCTGGAGACATGGATGATAGAAAAAGCACCACTGGATTTGTGTTCTACATGGGAGATACTGCTTTCACGTGGATGTCAAAGAAACAACCTATTGTCACTCTGTCTACTTGTGAAGCCGAATATGTCGCAGTTACATCATGTGTTTGCCACGCCATTTGGCTAAGGAACTTGCTGAAGGAGTTGAATATGCAACAAGAGAAGCCAACCAATATTTATGTTGACAACAAATCTGCCATTGCATTAGCAAAGAATCCAGTCTTCCATGATAGAAGTAAGCACATTGACACACGCTATCACTTTATAAGGGAATGCATTGCAAGAAATGAGGTGCATATAAAATATGTCAAGTCTCAAGAACAAGCAGCAGATATCTTCACCAAGCCACTCAAGAATGAAGACTTTGTCAAGATGAGAAAACTGCTTGGAGTTACAAAATCAAGTTTAAGGGGGAGTGTTGAATAAATAAATAAACTTGATTTAATTAGTTTGTGGTCCATTGGGCTTAGTTATTATTTGGCCCAACTTTTAGAACAATCTTTAGGAGTAGTTTAGCCCAAATTCTAGAGTAATCCACTCTAGATTACTCCATGGAAATATCTAGAATAGTTCAACCTAGAAACTACCATGGAAACATCTAGGCTAGGAAAATTGTGGAGAATTCTACAGAATGATTTGTAGCCATTAGATGAGAATTGTGTTGGCACAATCCTAGCCATTGGTTAAGGAGGTGCCACTAGTATAAATAGGTGTGTCCTCCATCATTTTGTATCAAGCCAAAAAGCCAAAAATCAAAAAGAGTTGGGTAGTAATAAAAGTGTTCTTTTTCCTCCAAATCTTTCTAAAACTTTCCTTTTCTCAAATATCCTCCTCCCAACATCAATCACTAATTATTTTTATTTTATTCTATTTTATTTTATTACAGTGGCAACCCCAAAACATATAAGGGAGTTGATGAAGGTTCATGGTTTGACAAATGATGAAGTTAAAAGTCATCTCAAGGTGTTTTCTCTCTGCAATATTGTACATATATAGAGACCGGAATGAAAAAACACTTTGTTGTTGTACTATTATTATTGCGTCGCTGACAACGTAGTACCACTCCGCAGAATGCATATTGTGCATTTACTTTTGTTCTTTGTTTTTACTTTTTATGCTTTGTTTGTTTTCTTTCACTTTCTGATCATGTTTCCGATGTATTGTTGTTCATAGAAATATAGGCTTCACACTAGAAGACTAAGTCCAAGCTTACAAACAGGAGCACCCACACCCCAGCTCGTAGTCCTAGGAGGAATTTGGGTCCCACCAGAATATGCCACGGCGGCAGCAGCAGGCACCTCCGCCCTCTATGCCCTGCACCCGCCGCCACCGCTCTACTGTGCGGCCACCCCAGTACCCCAACAATTCTACACTGCTGCGCCGTCGCAGTCTGCACTGGCGCCACCTCCACACCACCACGCCCTCCACCATCACCTTCACCTGTATAAGACTGCGCCGCATCCTGAAAGCTCTCCAGAATCCGACGGCGGCAACCGGTCAGAGAGCATAGAGGATGGGAAGTCAGAGAGTAGCAGCTGGAAGGACGAGAGTGGAGAGAACAAAGGAAAGATAAAGGGGTTGGCTGCACTTAGAGAAGAAGGGGAAGAGAGCACCGGGAGTGAGATCACTCTGAAATTCTAGGGCTTAAGGTTATTATGGGCATTCTTTTTAGAACTACTTTTTTTTTTTGTTAACTTGCTTGCTCTCATGCATCCCATCCCATGTTCAAATATTAATTCAACAAGCGGAGGGAGGAAAAAAATTTCAATGTTTCTGCTTTTTGTTGTAGACAAAAATTATCTATCATACTTACATAAAAATAAATGTATCTCAATATTTTTTTTATTTTTTTTATAACGAGACTCACTCATTTTTTAGGGAGTGTGTTTTTCTATATTTTTCCCTATTTTTATATTCTACTTTTTAGAGATATTTATTTGTGTTGTAAAGAATGGACGACTGAGGACAGTAAGAAGGACATAAAAGTGAGCGTTCGTTTTGTTTCGCTTTGTTGCGTTCATGTTGTTTAACAACATAATATTGGAGTATGTTTGGTACAACAGAAATTTTTTGGTATTCGAGAATCACGATTACTAAGAATAGAATAGAAATTGAGTTTACCTGAAATGTTAAAAAAAATGTTAGTTAGCCAAAATTTTAACGGGGAATATTGAGTAAAGATTATTGATTCCATATTTAGTTTAGGAGAAAATATGACTTGAAAATGAGGTTATTTTACAAAAATAACCCCCAACAACTATTTTTACTTTTCTAATTCAATGCATTCAACAACTACAGAGCCAAGATCAATTACTATCAAGAAAATTACAGTAATACATGTCTGACCACAAGAATTACATGTTTAAAATGTCAAATTGCTTTCCTTTTCCCTTCCTACTACAGATAAATAAGTAAACTATCTGTACAATATATTTGCTAAAGTAAACAAAGCGACAGCTGCATCGAAAGAGAAACCTTGTGTTTTCATTTGAGGGACAAACATCAAGAAAGGGCTTGTTCGAAAGCTGAACTGCATACCCAGCTTCCCCTGGACTAAGAACTTTAACTTTTCCATCCCTGACGTACAAATAAGCAAGCAAACCACATGAAAATCATTAGGTCCACTTGTGAATCAACATCATGGTCTAGAAGGGGGTTAATCAAAGAAAAGAGGGCATCCTCCCATAACAAGGACTTGATTATACAGTTCATTATAGAAGGTAAGATAAATATATAGAAAATGGTATCTCTTGGAACTGAGACATGATAACTGCTTTTCCTTTGCCGAAGAGTGTTGTTCGAGTGCGAGCTGAGAGTGGGGATTATGAATTGAAGCAATTGAGGGAACTGAGAGTGGGGGTATTATTGTCTCAAAAATATGTTGATATGATTTTCCTTCTCTAGTAATCATGAAAACCACGTTATTTTTTGGTAATCGCAAGAGTAAATTTTCTTTGTAATATGCTTTACTGGTAAATCTTGAATATTCCGGAACTCCTTTGTGTCACTTGTACCAAACATAGTAATTAACGTTTAGCAAAGAAGATTTACCAGTAATATCTGTGATACCCTTATACCAAACACCCACAGGAAGAATTCGATTCTACGGCTCTTGGCATTTTATGGTTCTTTAGATTACATATTTGCCCTTTGATTTTATATATAATGACAATGGCCACACAACACACTGCTAACCCCAAAGTGTTTGTCCTTATAGGCACTATGATTTTAATTAGACTATCTACACAATTTACTGAAGAATAATTTATAGGAAATAGTAATGAAATGAAATATTGTTCTATACCTTTTGTTTGGGTGGCATTCAGATTCAGATACCTTTTGTGGAAAAGACTCGCTGAAAGTTGAGTAAAAACAAAAAAAATTAGAGTAAATATCCTTTTTGATCCCTAACAAAAAACACGGTCCTCACTTTAGTCCTTTACAAAAATAAATTAGTGAGTTAGTCCCTAACAAATTCAAGGTGAACCCATTTTTAGTCCTTTTGAGAGATTAATATGGGTCTTTTTCGAATTTGTGAGGGACCACGATTTCAACTAAATGGGTCCACTTTGAATTTGTTAGAGACTAACTGACTAATTTATTTTTGTAAGGGACTAAAGTGGGGACCGTGTTTTTTGTTAGGGACTAAAAAAGGTATTTACTCTAAACAATATTTGTAATACCATTTAGGGCAAGGATATTGTTTCCATGCTAACAGTTATGTAAGTGAGCGCGCAAGTATACGCGACAACAAGTAATATAAGGCGTATTTGAGACCCTAATATCGTTCCCACAAAGATCTTTGGCGTTTGTAACTTGACTAACATTTGCAATTGCTAAAACTGAATCCAATCTAAAAAGTGAGTAAAAGTAAAAACAAAGTAATCACAAGACAAAGTTAAAATACTACTGACCAGTGACTCTACTTACCTTTTTTTTAGGATTTTAAGAATTGATTTCATGAGCTAAAGGGTGAAAAATGGAAGGAAAACAGGTGGGGTATCTGATGTAAATTATATAAAAAAATTGTAAACAGAACTATGATTGAAATATTAAAAATCAAGGACAAGAAATCTGTGTTGGTGAAAAATAGGTTGTAAAAATAGGTTGAGCTTCGGTTACCTTTCCCAACAGCAATAAAATGATTGTCAATTAAAGATTATTAAAATTCAATTCCCAGTTAACAGATCACTTCTTATTGATTTTAATAATCCTCAACACTCATATACACATCTCTGTGCTAAATGAAGCAAGGACTCATACATTACAAGTCCAAAATTACATGGTGGCTGTCCTCATCTCTGAGTGACAGCCCTTGAATGCTCTCACACTCAAGTCCATGTGCTTAACAAATTTCCAGAATTAGTCACCTCTCGATGACTACTTCCTAAAATAATATCTACCATCAGGCCTCAATGACAGAATATTTACTTAAAAGCACAGTATTAAACAACTGAGAATCAAAATTTAACAAAAGTAATTAAGAAACAACCATTACTATGGTTCGGGTAACCTACACCCAACCCTGAAAGGTTTAGCTCATACACATAAGGGTTGAGCTATGTAACACCCCGTGTATATCCCGGTTTGTTAACATGTCATCGTATTAAGCCGCGCTTAATTAAAAATGCGGAATATCTTTTTCTTTTCAATTATGGCGTCATTATCATTAGCCAAGTTGAATTACTTAATTCATTTTCATAAAACATCTCCTGTATGTAAATTGCAAATAGACAACTAACTGAAATACCTCAATATATAAATAACTGCGAGTATCTAAAATCACGGAACTACAACACGTCGCCCGGACATAATCCTGATACATTAATACAACTCAAATCTAAACTAAGACATAGTCAATCAAAGTGGCATGGACAATCCCCATGCTCACCAAATAAGGCAACAAAGCCAAACATAGTCTCAACAACAGCAACATAATAATAACAAGCTAATAGCATATCATCAGCATATATAATCCAGCATCCAAACATATCATCACACAAACAGCAATATCAGCTAAGTTCCGGCCTCCTGCCGCTAGAGGTATCAACCCCTAGGTTACCTGAACCTGAAATAAGCGCCCCAAACGTGGGGTGAGATCTCTAAACAGAAATCTCATTAAGACAAGCGGTCCTCAAGGATCTTCTACCCCATGCTCACTTACATGTGCAATATAAGTTCCAAAAGCAGTTCAACAGTATAAGTTCCAAAAAAGTTCAATGCAGCAGATAATCATGTCATGTGTGTTATAACTAATCTACTGGCCAGAGAAATGCAGGAATACGTCTATTACCCACACTAGTGCAAGACGCCACTTGCACCCATCCACAGTGTCACCGTCTTGTATGACGCCACATACTCAGGCTTACCGTCTAAGTGGAACAACACATACATATTATAAGCAACTGCACATAAAGCTCAACAACATTTTCATTTATCAAAGCATGTAAACACATCATGCATATAAACCATTCCCCCATGGGGTATGGTGGAACCACACAATGGCTAAACCGAGGACACGAAAGCTTACCTTGCAAGCTAGCTATCCAAGCCAAGAGCCCACACAAGCTCAAAGCCTAAACACAGTAGAATCATAATCTGTTTTGAACCAGCAATCATATCAATAATCATACTCAACAAGCATATGACACAAAGACAACACCTTTCCTTTACGTTTCATGTCTTTAGGCTTCTCACAAAGCCACAAGCCCTTAATCACTAGATTCTGACTTAGTTTAATTATTACAGAAGTCCCACTTCCTCAATCTAGGGTCCACAAACCCATAACAGCCTTCTGTATGAACAGTACAGCTACAGTTCTTCGAAAACCCAGAATATTCGGATATATGTCGGGGTCATATCCGGATATGCATATCCAGATATCCATATTCGGATATCATCAGACCCCATATCCGGATATCGCGGCAGAATGCAGTTCTGCATTTCGCGAGATATCCTACCCAAAGGTGGTTCATTTCACGATTCCAGAGGCTTAAACATGCATTTTAAGGTGTGTTTTACCTTACCCAACCTTAAGTTATCAACTTTAGTTTATTACATGCATCAAGACTTCATTTTTAACTAAAGAAACTCAAGAACAGAGGTGATGATCATATCCCAAGGTTAAAACAGAACAAAGAGGTGCTTTTGGAGCTCTCCCTTAAGCTCTTATGATGCAGACACCAAGGTGAACGAAAATGGGTATCAAGGTTGGTCCTTTCTTCACAAAGGTCACAACTTGAAGCTCCCACAACCAAGGAAATGGCTCCCATAACTTCAACCAACAAGTCAGCCCCAAGAACCTCACAAAATAGTGGCTGAAAATTCAGAAAAATGGTGCCTCTCAACCTCTCAAGTCTAATGCACACCCACTTTAGGAGATTTGATGAAGAAACCAAGAAGAAAGATGACTTCTTGGCTCTCAAGGTGAAGAGGAAGGCAATGGAACAGTAGGAGAATGCTGGTTAGCCTCCACTCTACGTAGAAAAACTGATATGACCTAGGGTTTAGAGCCAACAATGAGTATTTATAGCCGGTTAAAACTTAAACGCACTGTATTAGCGCTAATAGCTACGCTTGGCATATTAATCCCAAACTTTGGAATCTGAACCTACTCATTTTTCTAAGATTTATCATATTTT